GGAGGAGGGAGGGACTAACTGGGTGGGGACATCCCTCATGGCGTCACGATGGTGCCCTCCAAGGTAGCCGCCGGTCCTCACACCCTCCCTCATCAAAGGAGGGTTGGTCTTTGCAACCAGAGGACAAACTTCTCCTCGAAAGAATCGCAGCTTCTCGCGTCATTACTCTGGGGAGGTTCCAGGCACCTTGGTGTGAGAGGCCCAGGCCTCAGGCCTCGCTGCCCACAGCCACGCGAGCGAGCCGTGTAAGAAGAGGAGCCCTGGCCCCAGGCCAGCCTTCGGATCAGACTGCAGCCCCAGCCGCCACACTCAACCTCGGGATAGACCCCGAGCCAGAACCACCCCCGCCCATCCCGACTCCCGCCCCTCCAGAACCGGTGAGGAAGGCTGGTTTTAGGCTGCTCACCCCAGCCCCTGGCAACAGATAACTCCTACACTGCTATCCTTCCGAGCTCAGCTGCCAAGGGACAAGCCTGCTGGAGCCTGTGAGCTTCCAGAATGATCCAGCCTTTGGGGGCAGCCACAGGCGCCCTTCGTGACGTCCAGTCCCACCTGCGTGTGACGGTCACGTCCACCGGACGAGCCTTTTTCGGGGGAAGACAAGCAGCTTTCTGCGAGCAGCGAGCTGAGGCCGCGAAGGAAGTGCAGACGCGTGGCCAGTCTGAGGACCCGGGCAGTGGTTTTTAAAAGATGAAATAGGGAAGAGCCGAGACCGGGATGCCAGGACACAGGCTTTATTGAAGAGAAGGGTACCCCTGCCGGATGCTTCCAGAGAGAGAGCGCGGAAGAGAACAAGGGCCAGGGATCCATGTACTTTTAAGGGGAGGCTAGGGGATGGGGCTTAAGGCACTCAGCACACGCTGATTGGTGGTTAGGGACCGAGGGACTTAGGAACGGGGGCTTAGGGTGTTTGGCAGGTGCTGATTGGAGGTTCGGTGCTCAGGAATGTCTGGCCGCAGGTGGTGGGGTTTAAGTCTGTCCATCAACTGGAGGAAGGGAGGACCTATCAGTTTTCCCGAGGGAAGATGGCTGACGCTCCCGCAGGGAGCGCTGTAGGCTGAGCACTCCGGGGAGCCATCGGGGCTTAGCACGCAGGGTCACCCTCATCACGGTCAGCGACAGCTCCCGAGCGTGGCAGGAGCCCCTCCTCCCGCGGGAAAGGCCACACTCTCCGCACCGGGGATCCGGCACGTGAAACCCGGGAGGCGGGGCCCCGCTGAGCGGACCGGGTCCGAGGGGGAGGGAGTCAGCACGCTGAGTGCCGAGAGGACACCGCTTCTGAATGGAGACCCTGCCGGAGCCACCCCAGCCCCACCCTCTGAGTGACCCGACGAGACCCATGCAGCTGTCAGGAGGATGGTGAGGCCCAGCCGGGGCCCGGATCTGATCCTGGGTTCGAGTTCTAACGGGCATTGTTGGGGGTGACCTGGGGCAATGCTCTCAGGCTCCCCCGGTGTCAGTCTCCTCCTCTGTGAGATGGTGAAGGGCCAGGCAGGGCCCCGTGCAGCAGGTGTACGTGAGTGGGGGGCGTAAGGGGGGCCGGGGTGCTGGGACCGGCCTGTGCCAGCCCCAGTGCGGGAAGGTGAGGCCACGGCCCGGAGTGCTGCTTGCCAAGTCGCCGCTCACGGCCCCCTGGATGCTGGCACCATGTGGTTGCTCCTGCTCAGACGTGTCCCTGCCCCCAGGCGGCCCAGCCAGGCCCGTCAGAAATGTCTCTGTCACTCTGTGTCTCCACCCGGGACGCACAGCTCGGATCTGACCTGTCTTGGCAGTTTCTTGGTTTAAGCTGCGTGTTCCTTTTCTCCTGTCTCCTGGATGCGTCAGATTCCTTCCATCTTGTGCAAGTGTTGCTGGGACAGGGAGGGAGGGAGGGAAGGAGGGGGGAGAGGAGGGAGGGAGGGAGGGAGAGAGGGAGGGAGGAGGGGAGGAGGGAGGGAGGGAGGGGGGAGGAGGGAGGGGGAGGGGGGAGGGGGGGAGGAAAGGAGGGGGGGGCAGAAGGGAAGGAGAGAAAAAGGGAGGGAGGGAGGGAGGGAGGGAGGAAATACAAGCCAATGAGACACAGGGTAGACGTGGTGATGGGATGGAGAAGATGGGGCCTGTTGCGTTGTGGTGGATATGGAGGTGTTGCCAGTGGTCCGTGGGGAACAGAAAGACGCCTCCTGGCCGTGTGGCCCCCCATCGTCACCGTCAGCTCACCCGGTAAGAGCTGAGCGCCGAGATTTACCCGCGGCTTTCCTCGGGCTCAGCGTTTCATGTCTGTCTGCTCTTCCCCGTGAGCAAGTGTGGGCCGGCCCGGTGAGCACCCTGCTCGGTGTCTCCCTGCACAAACCGGCTGTTTGCTCAAGGTCACACACAGGAGAGAGGTGCCCAGACTCTGGGCCCCAAGCCAGCTGTCCTTCCCGGGCCTGGTGCGCTCTCAAATGGCTTATGAAGCTTCCCTTCCTCACCTCCCTCCACTCTCCTCTCCACCCCACACCCCCGCCTGGCTCTCTCAAGGTGCCAGTCATGGGCAGCCTCCCACTAGGACACCCGCTCCTCCGGGATTGGCTGCTGGGAGGATGCAGTTGCTCCTGATTGGACGGTGGCAGCTACAGGGCCAGGAGGTGGGCTCTGGGCAGCAGCTGGCCACAGGCTCAGGGAGCCCAGGCTGGGTGAGGGGGTTGTGGGAGAGGTGGCCTCCCCAGGATGCCCTCCTCGTTGCCGCAGGTGGTGCTGGCTGTCCCTGCACCTGCAGCTGCCGTCCCCCCAAACTCCCCCCACCCCGACAGGGCAAGCACGGCACCCTCAGAGACACTGTCCTTGTTCTGCCCTTGTTCCTGGCGTGGGCAGCATCCCCTGTGTTCCCCCTCCCCCCACCCCGAGGGCATTCAAGATTAATACCGCCCATCCAGCCCTCCCCTGCGCTTTCCCGGGGTGAGCCTTCCGCAGGCTGAGTTGCATTCATTCATTCATTCATTCAACACTTACCTGAGCGTCTACTGTGCCGGGCACAGCTGTGGACACAAGACAAGGCTGGCAACCTCATGGGAGGGAGACCGATCATAAACGAGACGTGGGCGCAGTACGAGGCATCCGGAAGGGATACGTGCTGCGGGGGGGGAGGGGGGGGAGGGAGTGATGCAGGGAAGGGTCTGGGGGGAGGGGACGGGGTTTGCTGTTTGAGGTAAGATGTTCGGAAAGACTCGCTGAGAAGGCGGTCTGTAAAAGAGCGGGGGGGGGGGGGGGGTTCAGAGGGACCTCGGGTCAGAGGCTCAGGTGGAGGGAAGGCCAGCGCAAAAGCCCCGAGACTGGAGCGCCTGCGGGTTTGGGGGCTCTCAGGAGCCCGTGTGCGGGGTGAGGGGAGAGCGGGGGACGGTGGGGGGTCCCAGGCCGGTGCTGAGACTTGGGCCTTCGTCCTGAACAAAGTGAGGAGCCATTGGAGGGTTGGGGCTATTATATGGCATCATCTGATCCATGCCCAGGAGGTCCTCCCGGCTCCCGTGAAGCAGACCGTGGGGGGAGCTGGTGGGGATCCCCGCGAGAGGGGGGCTCTGGATGCCCCGGAGGGGGTGGGGGTGGGTCCTTGCTGAGCTGGGAGCGGCGTGGAGGGGCAGACGGGGCGCCACCGGGAGCTCAGTACGACCTGCTGCCGCGGATGCTCCCGCAACTTGGCTCTGGGCGGCTGTGGGCAGAGGCGGGCGCGGCCCGCTGGTCCCGGCTTCAGGCCTCGCAGGCTGCGTCAGGCGGTGGTCGGGCCGGGCTCATGTTCAAAGGCTCCATTGGGGAAGCCCCCCGCCCCCTGGCTCCCAAAATGCACGGTGGTTTGGAGGTCAGCCTCAGAGGTCACCCTCAGTCCCCTGCCGTGTGGGCCGAGAGCTCCATCAGAGCTGCCACAGCGGGACAGGAGGCGCCGCCCCGTCCTCATCCCAGCAGGGACGTCAGTGCCCGCCCATGCCCGGCTGTGGTGAGAAGCCAGTGGCTGGGCCGCCTCACCCAGGGCGGGGCTGACACAGGAGTGAGTGCCGGAGCCAGGAGGCAAGGCCTCTGACAAGCTGCTTCCTTTTTTCTTCTTCTTTTTAAAAAAATATTTTTTTCATGGGCATGTGGAGGTATTATTGATATGAGAAAATGCTAAGTAACTGATTTACTATCTGAAAAGGGATTTACTATTGGGGAAAGGGAGGGAAGAAGAGACTGAACATAAACTGTGCACCTATGGATGAGGACAATGGGGGAAAGGGAGGGGGCGGAGGGTGGGGTGGGAACCTGGTGGAGGGGGGAAGAAATGAGGAACCTTTGTAATAATATGAACAATAAAGATTGATTTAAAAAAAAGAAAAAGAAAAAAAAAAGAATGCAAGTTAAAAAAATATTTTTTTTTTCATTGATGTCAGAGAGGGAGGGAGAGAAACATCCAAGATGAGAGAGAATCATGGACCGGCTGCCTCCTGCGCGCCCCCCACTGAAGATGGAGCCTGCAGCCTGGGCCTGTGCCCTGACTGGGAATCGAACCGTGACCTCCTGGTTCATAGGTCGATGCTCAGCCACGGAGCCACGCTGGCCGGGCACAAGCTGCTTCCTTACCACTGAGCAGTCCCACCAGAGGCCTGCAGTGGCTAGAGTCGGGGTGAGGGGGCAGCCAGGATGGCCCCGGGCTGGGGGAGACGGTCCAGAGACCCGAGTCCCAGAGGCCCCAGTGCCTCTGTTACTGCAGTTGGGGCAACAGAAATGGGCTCCCAGAGGCTTGGCAATGGGCGAGGGACCCCCCCAGGAGCGCTTGGGGGGGAGACGGGAGGGATGGGATGGTCCTTGGGCCCGGTCATCAGCCTCGTCCGCGTCCCCGTGGGCCGGCCTGCCTGCCTGCCTGTCTGTCTGTGTGTCTGATGAAGGACGGCAATGACCTTTGCCCTTGAAGAGCCTCCAGGCCACGCCCCGCCGGCCTTCCTGAACCCGCTCCCTCCTCTGCTTCCCCCCAGAGTCTTCCGGCGTGACGGGCGCAGGCGGGACCAGCGGCCGGCTCCATGTACCCAGAATCCACCACGGGCTCCCCGGCTCGGCTCTCCCTGCGGCAGACCGGCTCCCCCGGCATGATCTACAGGTGACTCCCGCCCCCAGCCCGCCCCGGTCCGCCCTGCCTCAGGAGGAGTCCCCCAGGCCACTGTCCTCCCCTTGGCCCAGGGAGGGACCACGTGAGGCCCCTGGGCTGCGAGGGGCAGCGGCAGCGTGGTCCCTCCCGCTCCCCATGCCCTGGGCACCGCCAGGTCTCCCCAGGGCGGGCGGCCAGGTCTCCCCAGGCACCTGGAGAAGCCTCTTCCAAACTCAGCTCGGGTCTCTGGGTAAATCCCAGGCGGGTCACGGGGTGTGGTGGGGGCGCGTTGGGCAGAGCTCGGAACCCAGGCTGAATCACTGCATGAACGCCGGGCCCAGATGGAGTCCCTGGGGCCCTCAGTCCTGGGGCCCCTCAGTCCTGGGGCCCTCAGTCCTGGGCCCCTCAGTCCTGGGGCCATGGGACTTCCCGGTAATTATCAGGGCCTGGGCCACAGCCAGTGTCCCTGGGCACCACAGGGGAAAGGGCTGTCCCTCCCTCATCAGGACCCTAAGAACCCGCAGGGAGTGGGGTGACAGCAGGGTGACAGTTGGAGGGTTTTTCCCTTGTTCGAAAGCGTGTTTCCTTAAAACCCAGACAGGCCTTCCTCAAGAGGGATGGGGGCGGGGGCGGATGACCTCCTGTCTTGTTCCCCCTTCTCTCTGTGTGTGAGGCTGGCACAGGGCCTCTGCCCCCGCGAGCCACTGGGTGGCGCTGCTGCCGAGCGCTTGGGACCAGGCCGGGCTCGCATCCTCTAAGCCCGGAGCCGCGGCGCGGGGTGGGGCCGGCGTTGTGTGTCGCCACGGCTCCGGGCTGGCAGCTCCGGGCGGTTAATGCCGATTGTGGACTCTCTTCTCTCCCTCCTTCTCTCCCCCATGCTGCCGCAGTACTCGGTATGGGAGCCCCAAAAGACAGCTCCAGTTCTACAGGTAACGCGCCCCCGTGTCCCTAGGCCGGCGCGGGCCGGGTGCGGGGAGGGCCGAGCGCTCCAGTCCTTCCAGGTCAACGGATCTGTCAGCAGGCGCACTGGTGGTTTCTGTGAATGAAATTCCTCAAGGAGGCCCGGCCTGTTCCCTCGCGCCGCCCCTGCCAGCTGCTCTGTCCTGGCGAAGGCCGCGGGGCTGATGTGGAATCGGCGTTGGTTGGGCAGGGGGCTTGTGGTACCTGCCCAGCTGGCGGGTGCCCCTAAGCCCCCCTCAGGGCGCGGGGGAGGGAGGCGCTTTCCTGGCCGTCCTGGGTCACGGTTCGGGGTTCTCAGCCCGTCCGCTGTCCCCTCTCCTTGGATTTGAGCCCATTCACAGCCTCGCGGTGATCAAAGGCCAGCTCCCGCTCGGAGCGTGCAGATCTGGCTCCGGGTCCGAGTGGCCTGGGTGGGGGAGCAGACTGGCTGGCGTCGTTCTGATGTGTTTCCTTGTCCCTTGTCAGTGAATCAGCTCCCCAGTGTTCGCAGGGCAAGAGGCTCTATCCCCAGGGACGTGGGACGTGGTGCGGAGGGGACGGGTAGGTGAGCCGGCAGGGCTGCTGGGCTGTCCAGGGGGAGGTGCCCGGAGGGTGGCACTTCCTTGAAAGCCGGTAACTCTAGGTACTTCGCCACGTTTCTCCTTTCGGGAAATCGTCAGCCCCAGCCCTGGGATGGTGTGGGGACTGCATGAGACTCTTGGGGGCAGGGCCACAGTGTGTGGCATTTGGGCCTGGGGAGCCTCTGGGTCCAGAGCCAGCTCCCCGGCGTCAGCACGCCCCCTGTGACGGGACCAGGGGTTCCTGCGATGCACCGGGAGCCTCGGGCGGGGAGGGCATAGGGCCCCGTATGGCTCTTTCCTTCCGGCACCGCTCACCGTGGCCCTGGGCCTGGGTCTCCGACTGCTGGTGCCGCTGCTTCGGTGCCTCCGAGCGGCCCCTCTTGGCAGAGAGCTCTGAGAGGGAGCCTGCCTCAGTTCCACTCCGTGTCGATGCCATGATTTTACCTGAATGTGTTGGGTGTGAACTGGGCTTGCGAAGGCGCTTGGATGAAATGTGCACGGGTGTCGGTGTGCAGTGGCCCAACTCGTCCGAGCAAACGGGTGGCATTCGTCCGGCAGGACCAGTCCCGACGTGCACGGGCCTTGCACCTCCGCCATCGGCCGCCTCGCTCCCGGGAGGAAAGGAGCACGGGACGGCAGGCGGGAAAGGCCCCGTGGGCGTCCTCGTCACCGGGCACTGCCGTGGCTCTGAGGGGTTTGAGTCGGTCAGCGCTGTGGAGCTGCTCCTGGAACAGTGCCCTCAACCCTGTATCCATCAGCTGTTCAACAGAATGCTGCCTAACAAACAGCCCCACACTCACCCTGTCTAATGAAAAGGGAATATGCTAATTGACCCTCACACTGTTGCAAAGATGGTGGCACCCAAGCCAATAAGGAGGGAATATGCTAATTGCTGTCCCGCCCTCAAAGATGGCAGTGCCCACAGCCAATAAGGAGGGAATATGCTAAATCACTGTCCCGCCCTCAAAGATGGTGGCATCCATAGCCAATAAGGAGAGAATATGCTAATTGACTGTCCCGCCCTCAAAGATGGTGGCACTCACAACCACACCCAGTCCCCTCAGCCCCACCAGGCCACCTATCTCCAGAGTCTCTCAGTCCTCTCAGCCCCCAAGCCCCCAGGGCCTCCTGAGGCTCAGGTAACCAGGGCTGGCCGAGGCTTGCGCTGCCGGCAGTGGCAGCAGCAGAGGTGTGATGGGGAGTCACCTTCCCCTGAACACCGGGTCGCCTCCCGCCCCTGAGGGCTCCCGGACTGTGAGGGGGCAGGCCGGGCTGAGGGACCCGTCTCCAGTGCCTGAATTTTCATGCTCGGGGCCACTAGTCGCTGTAGAAGAGCCATTCATTCCTTGCTTGTGTGCCGGGGGTTGAAGAGAGCCAGTCCATCCAGGCAGGACTGGGCACTGAGCTGCAGGTCGGGTCCAAGTGCTCATCCTCCCGTCCTTGCTCGCCAGGCCTGTCCCAGGCCCGTTCTCCTCGTGGCAGAAATGTGTGTGGGGGGGGGGGGGCAGAAACCTGTAAGGTCTCTGAAGGCCAAGATTAGAACCCACGCACTGTCACTTCTGTGCATTCTTTTGGCCAAAGTGAGTCCCACGACCCAGCCCCATGTCCGAGGGCAGGGAAGATACACCCACCATCACCCGTGGGGGAACCAGGGACCCGGAGGGACAGAGGGTCGGCAGCAGTGATGCAGCCTGCCCCAAGCTCACATGCCCCAGTGGTGCCCAAGGTGGAGCGTGCCTGGGAGAAGGCTCGGAGCGGCCGGGGTTCCGAGGAGGACGGGGCTGCAGCCCGCCAGGCGTCACGGAGGCTTCGCCGAGAAGGCTGCCCGGGCGCTGAGCTGGGCCTTGAGGTCAGGACAGGACTCAGCACAGAGCCAGGGAGCACGTCCCAGGCGAGGCGACAGCCTGAGCCCCGGCCGGGAGAGGTGCAGAGAACAGGGAGTGATGGCTTCACCGACGGGCCATCGGGGAGGGCACAGCGGGACAGGACTCGAGGTCCATGGGGGCTGGGAGGGAGGAGCTGGGCTGCGGCCATGGCGGCGTTGAGCCAGGCAGGGATCCGGCTCCGCTGCAGGGAACGAGACGGGGCAGAGAGGCTGGCTGTGGGCGAGCAGGAGAGGGGGAGGGCTGAACCGCAGGAGCCCGAGAAGAGGAAGGGAGGGAGGGGACGGGGCATAGGAACAGGGTGTCTGGAGCTCACCCATGGGCTGGTCAGCCAAGACTGAGGGCAGCAGTGGCCGGGGAAGAAGAACTGTCCTCCTTCGAAGCGTATCGGCCGATGACAGCCAATCACAGTGAGGCCCCGGGCCGCCTCCCGCCCAGGGGGACATGCAGGCCTTTGAGAACCATCTCACGTCCGACACTGAGGCCTCCCCAGGGAATAACCTGCCAGTCGCCGCGTGTCCTCTAGGCCATGCACTCACCGTCCATGAGCTTTCTCTTCCGGCCTGATTCCCTCTACCCCTGCCCGCCCCACCCCACCTGCAGGCTGGTGGCCGCCATGCTGTTGGCGGGTCTGTCAGGGGAAGCAGCTCAGCCTCTTCCTGTTCTCCGGAAGTGATGTCACACAGACTTTTTGGCACCCTGAGCCGGGCCAGCTCAGCCAGGCTCGGTGAGCCTGAGGGGGGAGTGAGGGCGGTGAGGGATGGAGAAAGGCGGACAAGGGAAGAAGCTGGGGCTGGTGGGACGCTGTCCTCTGGGGGAGGGCGAGTGAGAGCGCCACAGCCTGCCGGCCGAGCTTTACTTTACAGCCGACGCCACGGGCAGAGGAGGGCGCCGTCCGGATGTTCACAACGCTCTCCCGGCTCCGACCCGACTCGGTGACAGGCTCCTGGTCCGCTTTGTTTCCTCGCTGCGCCTCCCGCAGCCCGTGCTGTGCAGCCCCGTGGCCCACAGGCTCGGACCATCGGTTCAGGCTCACAGCACAGCCTTCGGCTGGGACTGTGCTGGGACCGCACGTGGCTTTGCCACGAGAGGACCGTGCCCTCTGCTTAGTCCCAGGCTTGAAGCTGTCCGAGCGCTGAGCTGCTGTCCGCGGCACCTGGGGTCATGACCCTGGGACAGGGGCTCCGCATTGCTCCCCCCCCTCCCAGCTCAGCCTGGAAGCATTTCCCAGACACCGGGGCAGGCCACCCGCGGTGAGGAAGGGTCCCTGTGCCCCTGTCGCAGGGAGAGGCTGAATGGTATCCAACAGCAGGCTTCCCGAACCTTCCGGCCTTTTCCAGATCCTGGGTGCCAACCTGGGCGCACCCCAGTGGAAGGGAGGAGGGGCGTCCGTCCATGGGTGCTGATGGGAGGTCTCCTCAGACCCCAGCCTCTTGAATAAGGGTGGGGATCACATGCCGCGGGGACCTGGCTCCCCTCCTGCAGACACAGCCAGGGATGCGAGGGGGACGGGGCTGTGCACCCGGGTCCTTCCCACCTGGTCCCCAGGGCCCTGTCCCTGGCCATCGGGGGCAGGCGAGGCAGGGGTGGTAATGGCAGGACCCTGGCCGCTGCCCCCCGCCGGCCCCAGCACCGAGTCGGCCTACCGGCGGCACCGCGGAGCTGCACTTTCCGGCGGGCGGGCGAGCGGCGTCAAGGGGCTGAGGCCTCCTGAATAATTCAGCCTGTTTCCGAGACAAACGCCCTAATAGGACTAATGGACTTGCTGCCTCCCAGCCGACCCCTGGGGGCCGGCCGCCTGCAGCAGCTGCCTCCGGCGCTCCGCGGCGACACTCCCTAGCGAGAGCGGCAGCAGCGAGCTGCCTGCAGACCCCGGAGCTCGCTCAGCGGCGGGCGTCCTTCCACCAGCAGGGCCAGAGCAGGTGAGCGGCCTCCCTCCCTCCGGTGAGGGCAGCGCCTGCCGCGGGTGCTGCCGCGGACGGAGCCATCCGGGACGGAATGACGGAGGGTGGTGTTCGGGGGGCGTCGGGCTGATTGGAAATGAGACCCGCTGTTTGTTCAAAGCTTAAAGCCTCCCCCAGAGCCGGCCTGGGTGGCCATGGAGGGAGCTGGGGAGGCGGGGGCTCGGTGCTTGCGCCTGCTTGCTCCAGACCTGCCCATCCAGGGAGGCCGGGCAGCGGCTCTCCCCATGGGCTCTCCCCGTGGGCTCGCCCCGTGGCTCTCCCCGTGGGCTCTTCCCGTGGCTCTCACCGTGGGGCTCTTCCCGTGGGCTCTCACCGTGGGCTCTCACCGTGGGCTCGCCTGGCAGGTTCTGCATTCTCCGTTTTCCCGGGAAGGGCAGAGGACTCAGGGGGGCTGTCTGGGGCTGTCGGGGCACGCGCCTGGGCAGGCCGGCTGCTTGGCTGCGCCTCGGCTTGCTGGCGGCTCGCGAGCAAAAGCGGTTTTGTTTCTGCCCCGACGCCGTGCCCGCGCCGCGCACTGCAGGGCCCGCTCAGACGCCGCGCCCGCACTCTGCTTTCGGGAACT